GCTCAACCAATGTAAACAAGCCTCATCCGGAGCATGCGACGCCGGCCTTTAATAACATAAATAATTCTTGCAATCACTAAGTACCACCCTGAGTGGCACTCTTACTCTCAAATTATTATATACAATCAATATCCCAAGCCGGCGATATCGCTCCAAAACTTATCTACAATATCCCAATCGCTCCCAAACTTTTTGGAACAAAGGGCAGCACAAGTAATATTTTTTTCACAAGAATTTAATCTTAAGCTGAGATCAATAAAATAAAGACGTGAAACTAATTCTTCGTTTACTTATTCCTCTTAGCGTTGTCCTTAGTCAATTGCCGGGATATCAGTTTGACTTAATTAATAAATAACAAAAACTTTACTTTATATATGCTAATATATTTAATGATTATTTCGGTCAAACGCTCGAGGATGCAACTCGAGTAGCAGCGAAGACAGGAGTCAGACGAATAAGACAGATTTAATTATTTTCCCAGGCACATTTCATATTTTTTATGATTATGTTGGAGAGGCAAGAAGCTACCAAGACCCACTCCCAAATACGTCGACGCTTACGCCGGCAAAAGGTGCCTGACCATCAGTCGCTTCTTCCTCGGCCCGTGTCCATTGGACTGGGCACTAATACGCCATACGTAACAGAAATGACGCCTAACGCAAGGACATGACACAGCATCAAAATTTACACAATTTAAAACTTTTCAGGTTCTAAGTTTAAAAACCATCACAATTTAGAAACATAAGCATCATTTGGCACAGAATAGAAATCAGAATATATACGCATAATATTTTTTCTGTTCTTTAGATAAAGTTTTACAATGAAATATGTGCAGATTTTCTTAATGTTTAATTAACGTAACAAAAATTTAGCTAATTTTTCTGGCCGACACTGCCGGTTACACTATGATAGGCTATGCCCGGTCTCTTGTGAGGCTCGAGTGCAGAAAGAGTTGGGTAGCGGACATTTGGCCACCGCACATAATTGTCGAATACTTTATGGTCATTATATTTTAGTTAACCGGTTGGGGTTACGGTTACGTCATCCGATTGGACATCCAGGACTGCAATGTGGATGGAGGAACTGACGGAAGCTGTACAGCCGACGCTGTGAGTTGCACTAGGCTATGCCCAGTCTCTTGTGAGGCTCAGCCTGTACGGAATCCGCAACTACATTCTTGGGCGGGTGGACGATCTTAGTTTCTCTGGCCGACGCTGCCGATTGCACTAGGCCTTGCCCAGTTTCTTGTGAGGCTCGATTCCAGCGAAATGGGAAAGCTGTTGCAGATCTCAGGCCGGACTACATTATGGTCATTATAATATAGTCTATCGGCCATAGAAAAATCGACAGCATCAGTGTCCAAGCCAGTTTTATAGATATTGGATGGAGCCAGCCTGACTTCCGACGACGGGTGGGGAGGTGTTCGCACAGATACGTGTTAGGAGCAGCCTATTCCCGTTGGAAACCGCAGCCAATGGGCTTTCTGACCAGGAAAAAGAGCGGATAGTTAAGCGGACCCAAATGCGCAAAAGCTAAACTTACACTACTATAGAGATTTATTTTATTGCATTTTGGCTTAAGGATCGGACGAATTTCAGACCGAAAAATACCTTACCTTAATTCAGAATCCCTGAAATTATATTCATTTATCAATATATATTTTCATATAGTCGATATTCGTACAACGAAACGCGATTTCACTTATAAATCTAAAAAATCTACCTTAGATACACATATATTAGGTTGTCAAAAAAGTTTTGCGGTATTTTCGCTAGTTGACGCTGAAAGCGCTTAGTTCTTGTTTTATTCGTCGCATCAGGTCATACTATACCATTTTGGAAAGCACTTTCACGCGATAACACGTGTGTGATTGATTGTCTTTTCTTTTTAGTCGTTCGTGAGTTATAGCGTCGCAATCATGGAGCAAAATAAAGAGAAAATACGGCATATTCTACAGTACTACTACGATAAAGTCAAAAATGCATCTCAAGCAGCCAATAAAATTTGTAAAAAGTTTATGGACCCGATACAGTTTCCATTTCCACCGCACAACGATGGTTTCAACGTTTTCGGTCTTGTGTAGAGGTGGTCGAAGATGCGCCAAGCTCCGGAAGACCTGTCGTCGAAAATTGCGATAAAATCGCTGAATTGGTCGAAAGAGACCGGCATAGTAGCAGTCGTAGCATCGGTCAAGAGCTGGGCATGAAGAAGCTTGGAGTCACTTGATGTATGTATGGGATGTATGGGTGCCACACGAATTGACACAAAAAAACATTTTTGACCGTATCGACGCATGCGAATCGCTTCTAAATCGCAACAAAATCGACCCGTTTTTGAAGCATATGGTGACTGGCGATGAAAAGTGGGTCACTTACGATAACGAGAGGCACAAACGGTCGTGGTCGAAAAGCGGTGAAGCGGCCCAGACGGTGGCCAAGCCTGGATTGACGGCCGGGAAGGTTCTTCTGTGTGTTTGGTGGGATTGGCAGGGAATAATCCCCTATGAGCTGCTCCCCTTGTACTGCCAGCAACTGGACCGCTTGAAGGCAGCACTCATGCAGAGAGGCCATCTTTGATCAACTGAGGCCGAATTGTCTTCCATCAGGACAACGCCAAACCACACACATCTTTAGTGACGCGCCAGAAGCTCCGGGAGCTCGGATGGGAGGCTCTTTTGCATCCACCATATAGTCCGGATCTCGCACCAAGTGATTACGATCTGTTTCTGTCCATGGCGAACTCGCTTGGTAGTCTGAAGTTGGCCACAAGAGACTCCTGTGAAAATTGCCTCTCCAAATAGGGAAGCGAGCTTCTATGAGAGGGGCATTATGAAGTTGGGATCTCGTTGGGAACGCGTCATCGAACAAAACGGCGCATATTTGACTTGAATCGCATTATTGTAACCAATTTTATGAACAATTCAATAAAAATACCGCAAGACTTTTTTGACAACCTAATATATATATATATATATCTCGAGAGAATCTAAGACAGCAAGACTAAAATAGGAAAATATAAGTTGTATAAAGATATACATAAGTACAAGGAGTACTTATGACCCAATAACAAATGGCCGGTATAAAGAACACGGTAATTATATATACCACATCTGGCCGAACTACCAGAGCAGTAGCTCTCAAACAAGCAGCACAAGCAGCTAAGGCACGTCGGAGATCGGTTAGAAATAAAATTCAAGTCCTTGGAGTCGTAGGTGGCGAAGATATGGTTCTTTGACTACCACGAGGACGATCCAATATGCTACCACAACCCCGATCTAGACCACAAAATAACCCTGATCAGGAAGGAAGGCTCGAGAGAATGATGGCTCAAAATAAAGAACTAAAAGCCACATTTTCCAACGAGCTTACAAACTTAAAATCACAAATGGCTGGTCTACAGAGCCAAGTTATAGAGATAAACAAGGAACACAAAAATACCGCCTATACCGCCTTCCTGTCAGTCTTCCTCCAAGACATGACAGACCTCCGTGGATGACACTAGAGCTTCAAAGACTTAAAAACCTTAAAACAAACACTTACAAAAAGTACAAAAGGCCGAGCACGCCATCTGATTTTAATGTTCTTAACAGTCAATTCAATTCTAGGTTTTTGAACCGGTGTAAAACCGAATTTTCAAATAATCCGAAACAATTTTTTAGCTTTGTAAATTTCAAGCGTTAAAACTCCGCCTTGCCTTTATCAGTACGATTAAACTCAATTGAGGCGTCTACTGACTCCAAAATTGCTAATTTATTTGCCAAATTCTTTCAAACTACCTATAGTGCGGATTCCTGTCTAGATTCAGATTACCCTTACAATTTAAACAGGTCAAATTGTATTTGCTCCCCAGTAATAACATTTGTCTTCTAAGGGAGTTGGAGACCACAGCACCATTATACTCTCCATTATTACATATCATTCGCAACACTTTTGTTCCTCACGAATATCACCTTATCAACATGGTTTCGTTAACTAAAAACGCAGTTTCCAATATGATTATCGTAGCATCTGGAGTGCCTCAGGGTAGTCATTTGGGTCCATTTCTATTTTCCTTATTCATCAATGTTCTTCCTTATATTATATCACATGCTCGAGTACTGATATATGCTGAAGATGTTAAACTTTGATTGTCCTATAAAAATTTGCAATCGGGTTTCGGCTTTATTCTGATATTGATTGTTTTCGGAGATGGTGTCAATCTTACCTTTTAAATCTGAATTGCCTTCAATGGAACGAAATGACTTTTTATAGTTTTTTTCTAGTTTTAAGTTTATTTCTTTCCTCATGTTTTTTTTTTATAAACTACCTGTTCCACATGATATTGTTTTTCTTTTCCGGTTTCATTATGTGTTTCTAACATTTTTTTTTGTGTATTTTTTAAAATTTTATGAATATTAACGTGTTCTATTTTATAACATAGTACGTCAAAGGATTTTTGTTCGTTGATGAATGAATGTTCTGATTATATTCTTGAGCGGCTCCAATTACTATTTCGGAATAGTCGGTTAAATTAAATTCTTCTTTTACGCACCTAGCTAATTCAGTAAATGTAGAATGTGCCCTTTCAACTTATCCGTTTGGGGTACTGTGCCTCTGGTCTGCGTAATGTAGAGTTAAACCGTACCTTTGTGCAAAAGATTTAAATTGGTCCTAGGTTAAGCTCGGTTCATTATCGGTCATTATTACTTATTTCAAAGTAATTCCATTACTTTGTTTTCGATTTTTAATTTCTTTTGGATTTCTTTTACTACTAGAAATTTTGAATAAGCGTCAATGCAAGTTATGAAAGTGAGACTTTGCGCGTAATATATGTCAATGTGTGAATTGTCCCCTTCTTTACTTGGGATTGGGACTTCTCCAATTGCAATTTTAATTGGATGTCTGATATATTTGTTTTCATTGCAAATTTTACAATTTTTTATATATTCTTTTAATTATGTGAGTAACCGAGAAAACTGGTTTCGCGTTTAAAAAACTTTGATTTGTCTAAAGAAATTTTTATGTTTGTATTTAATAATATATTTATAATTTTGTTTAAGTCTTCATAATGTTGTTCAATCGAATTTGAGAATATAATGTCGTCCATGTAGACATGACATGTTTTCCTTATTTGTTCTCTTTAAATGTCATCCATTGCTCGCTGGAAAATTTTTAACAAATTTAACAAATATCCGAATGGCATTCTTAAAAATTCGTATTTTCCATTATTTATTGAACAAGATGTTTTTTGACATCAGGTTCTTTCATTAATATTTGATGAAAACCTGATTCTAAATCTGTTGCTGAAAAATATCTTGCTTTCCTTAAATTAGATAGTATTACTGATGGGTCTTGCATTGGGTACCTGTCAGGTATGGTACTTTCATTTAACTTTTTATAGTCAAAAACGAGTCTAAACTTACGGCTTCCGTCTTGATTCTCTCCTTTTTTTGGGACTACCAGAACTGGTGAGTTGTAAGGGCTTCAACTAGGCCTTATAATTTATTCTGACAACATTCTACTTATTTCGCTATTCACAAAGTCGGTGACGGATAAAGCATACGGAAATTGTTTCACGTATATTGGCCTTTCGGGAATAAGATTTATTTCCCCCTTTATGTCTGTTCTAAAAGGAATTTGCAAATTTATCGTAATATTTTATCTTTTCTGTTTTCCCTTTAAATTCCAATACTCCCTTTACTATATTAATTATAGCTCCAATTTTTCTTAGTAAATTGGATTCAATTAGAAGATCAAATTCCAATCCTTCTATTTCATAAAATAAATGCCGTGTTTCCTCAAATATAGTTATAATATGGTAATACATAATAATTGAATACCCATGAACTGCAGTTACCTTATTATATATTGATAATTCATTTTTATTTTCAAAAATTGCCTTTTTTATATAACAAGCAGTGGCTACTGTATTATTATTTTGATAATAATTATTATTATATCTTCCTCGATTGTTATTTGCCTGCCAATTATTATTCGGCTGCCGATTGTTATAAGGTTTATTCTGGACTTGAATCGATGGATCAACATCCATTGGCTCGACATCTTGTTGCTTTTGAGTGCTATTTTGGTTATTGTTTTGCCAAAAATTTCCCTTTTGTGGCCAATTATAGTTTTGGTTATGATTACCCGTTTTATTATTATTATTATTATTATTATTATTATTATTTTGTCGTACTTGATCAAATCGTAAGTTGTTTCCCTGATATTTATTTTTATTTTTAAATTTTAAAATCCATTAATCATGTTTACAAATTGAGCACGGAAATTGTTTGATTCTAATTCTTGGACCTTTGCCAAAGCATTGGGCAAATCTGGTGGATTTAATGAGAAAAGAGTTTCTGAGATAGATCCATTTAATTCGGATATAAATATTCGTAGAGCATTGCTCCTTATTATTTTGTTTGTTTCCTTGGTAATTACGCTGTCCTTTCCGTGTGTCATTATGGTTTTGTTTATTAGTAGTCAATTTTTTATTAACTTCGTTATAGTATTTAGTAACTGTTATTCGTCCCTGCCTGAGAATTCTTAGTTCTGACTCTAGAATATGAATTGTTCGCTTATCGCTATATATAAAATCCAAGTAAGACAAGATTGCTTGAAAGTTTAAAACGGTGCCATGATTGCTAAGAGCATCATGGGCAGCTCCCATAATTTTATTTCGTAAAATTGTTGACTTTGAATTTTATAAAGATTCATAACAGTTTCTGCAGCTTCCTTCCAACCCACATATTGTGTTCCTTCCCCAGTGAACTTTGGTAAAGATTTTACCACTTCAAGCGTTGTATCGCACTTTATAGTTGGGTCGATTGTTTGTATTTTGTAATCCTCCACAGTGTTTGCATCTGTGGTTAGTCTTCCTTCTAAACCTTCTATTTTCTTGCTCACTTCATTCAACTGAACATTTATTAATATTTTAATTAATTCCACTGTAAGGCCGCCAGCTGTGGCTATACTACCTAGAAATTTGGTGCTGAACCTCCGGTTGCCATTTTTAATTTTAATTCACCAAAGCTATTTATTAAATCTTCCAGATTGTTTCTTGATGATATTCTTTAATTCGCGAATCTATATTATTTTTTTTTATACCCTTGCAGAGGGTATTATAATTTCAGTGAGAAGTTTGAACGCAGACATCTCCGACCCTATAAAATATATATATTCTTGATCAGCATCACTAGGAGAGTCGATCTAGCCATGTCCGTCTGTCCGTCCGTCTGTCCGTATGTCCGTCCGTTTCTATGCAAACTAGTCTCTCAGTTTTAAAGCTATCTGCATGAAACATTCCAAAAAGTTGTCTTTCTATTGCAGGTAGTATACAAGTCGGAACGATCCGGATCGGACGACTATAGCATATAGCTCCCATTTGAAGAATCAATTATGCTGATACTGGGAACGCAAAAGGCGCAATTGATTGGGCTTCGAACGGAAGCTGATGTTTACTTTAGTTTTGATTTGTTTAACTTAGCTGGGGAGCCAAGATCGGACCTCAAAACCAAAGGCAAAGACAAAGGCAAATGCAGAGATTGAAATTATTGTTTATAAAAGCCATAAGTGGCCTGGTTTCACGGGTTGGATAACTTGCATACATGGATTTCACTCGCTGATGGCGTGTGTGGTCAAATTACGTTTGCACTTGAAGAGTGCTGATCCTGCAGTTTTCGCTAACATTGTTGCCGATGGTACAGTGTGTACTCTGTATGCATGCAAATTAAATTTATCACTAGTAATATTGTTAAAAAAATATATTTTTTATTTTTAGTAACTTGGTGTTAAACCTTTTTATTTAATTTCACAAGTACAATACACCTAATTTTTCACAATCGAATTTCTTACTTCCGAACTGTTTCTTGATCAAAGATGGACTGCCGGCTTAATTCTGAAATTTTATCCAATGAACCTTGGCCAGAAGCTTTTCTTTGAGCCTCTCGAACTTTTCCTTTTGTATAGAATATAAGCTTAGGATGAAATCATGGCATCCTATTGTGAAATTCAAATATGCTGACCGATGCAATTTGTTTGGGCTTGGATCGCAATAGTTTGAACTTAGAACGCAATTGATTGGGCTTCGAGTAGAAACTTATGTTTACTTTCGGATTTGTTTGTTTATTTGGTAGGGAAATCAAGAGCGGACCCCAAAGCCAAAGGCATGGGCAAAGACAAAAGCAAATGCAACGGCATAGGCGAAGATTGTTTAAATTGAATTTTGAAAAAATTGTTTATTAATTCCATAAGCGGCCCGGTTTCACGGGTTGGTTAACTCTCCCCCTTCTAAAATGGATCGCCCCGATTCATTATGAATTTCTTTTAAGCGTTCTCTTAGTTTTGAAAAAAAACATTGTTCTTGGTTTGTATCTTTTTCTTTAAAAGTTTCTTCGTGGTTTGTGTTTTCTTCTATTAAAATTTAATCTTGGTTTTTATTTTCTTTTTTTAAAACTTTTTCTTGGTTTGTACTGATTTCTAGTTCTGGCCGTTGTTTTTTAGTTACAAAATTTCTATATATTATGTAAAGTAATAATATTAAAAATATAATGATAAAAATTAATAATATAAAGGAAACTGATATTTTGGTATTATTAATTTTTACAAATGGATTGATAACGTTTATATTGTCAAGAGTTAGCTCCGAATTATTTGAAGCAATATATTCGGAAATGTCATAATTTATGAATTTATGCTGAGCTATATAGTTTAATATTTTGTTTTCCTGTTATTAATAATAATGGAGTCTTGTTTTGTAAAGGTCACATTTTCCGGTAATCATGGGATATTTTATGTAAACTACAAGTAAATCATTATTTAATAAAATTAGGTCAGATAATTCTACAGATTGTTTTTCATGATTGTAAATTTCTTTAATTTCATTCTCGTTTAAAATTTTTGTATTAAAAATTGTTGCTTTCGCTAAGATAATAGTATCTAATAAATTTTGTAAGTCAAATGTGAGTAACCGCGAATGATGTTTTCGTAAAATTGTTTCCTCGTTGAAAACTACATTTTTTAAACTTTCAGTAAGATATTTTACTTCATTAAATAATTTTGAATTTATTGTGAATTGCTTGTTGTTGTTTTCAATTAGGCTGTCTATTTTGTTCTGAACCGTTATGAAATCATCATGATCAGGAGTACCTGCTATCCATTTCCATAAAGTTCCTATTTCATTAATTCCTCTTTTTTGTCTTTCTGGCATTATTTCTGATAAAGTTAATTTAATGAGTTCCAAGTCCATTGAAATTTCCCATTCTATGTCTGTTTTTGATGTTTTGGTCAAAGATCTGGTTTCCGTGTTAATTATTTCTTCTGCGTATGAATCGTACGTCAATACGTCTTTATTGTCCTTAAATAATAAATATTCGTGACTTGTATAGTCAATTATTTCAGAACTTGTTAAAAGTAATAGGTTGAGTATAAGTACTGAAAAAAAACATTTTTCTGAAAATAAAATATTTTTGTTTATATTAGAATTTAATATTATCTTTATGAATAATTCTATTTCTATTGTTGATTACTATTTTGTTAGGCAAATTTTCCTTTACAACTTGTTTTTTATATCTGGATTTAAGTTTGTTTCGTTCCCCATGTTTCTTTTCATAAACAACTTGTCCTACATGATAATCTTTTTCTTTTCTGTTCTCATTATGTGTTTCTAACATTCTAGATTGTGTATTTTTCAAGATAATGGGAATATTATCATGATCAATTTTATTATATAGGATATCAAATGGTTTTTCGTTTGTTGTGGAACGAATGTTCTGATTATATTTTTGAGCGGCTCTAATAACTATTTTGGAAAAATTTGTTAAATTAAACTCCTCTTTTATGCAGCGAGCTATTTCTGTTAATGTCGAGTGTGCTCTTTCTACTTGTCCGTTTGAAGTACTGTGTCTTGGGTCTGCGTAATGCAAGGTAGTTCCACACCTTTGTGCAAATGATTTAAGTTGGGCCGAGGTAAAACTAGGTTCGTTATCGGTCATAATTACTTTTTCCTGGGGAAATTGTTGAAATAGTTCCATTACCTTAATTTCAATGTTTAACTTACATATTTTGAATTTCTTTTACAACAAGGTATTTTGAATACGCGTCTATACAAGTAAAAAATGTTAAATTTTGCGCGTAGTATATATCTATATGTAAATTTTCTCCTTCTTTAGTTGGAATAGGAGCTTCCCCGATTGGAATTTTTATTGGGTGCCTGTTATATTTATTTTCATTACAAATCACACAATTTTTGATATATTCTTTCAAGTTTTTAAATAAGTTTGGCCAATAATATAACCTACTGATTTGTTTATAATTTTCATCCAGACCCCTATGAGCTCGACTGTGTGTTTCTTCTATAATTATGGCTTTATCTTCATCGTTTTCTATGTCTTGAAGAAAGATTCTCGTAAAAAGAAATGGGTTAGTGAAATTATTTTTTAAGGGTAATTGAATGTTATACAAGTCCTCTAATGTACAATGAATTCCTACCGTAATGTTCGGTGGAATATACTCTTTTAATATAGTTATTAAATTTTCTGGTGTATCATATTCAATTATGTGTCGTGTCCTGCAAAAATCTTCCAGTGACTCATGTATTGTAAACCTC